CCACCCCCGCGCCGCTGGGTCCAGGACCCGCCCCCAGGAGGCGGGGCGCGCCTGCCCCCCGCCTCTGACTGACAGACTCTGGGCTCCGCGGAGCAACTATAAGCTAGGTTCCCGCCGCCAGCGCTCTTCAGCTACTCTTACCTCCAAACCTGCCTCCAGCACCACATCGCCTGAGGCCGCATCCCCCGGCCTTCACTACCCCGCGGGCGCTCAAGACCAGAGGATGAACCGAAGCATTCGTTCCAATATATAGGACACTTTAAACTTTTGTTATTTTTGCACTTTTAAATTAATTAACCCATGAACTATTTACTGAGCGTACCTTTTTCAGGCACTAAACAAAATATGAAATTAAAACAAAATATGTTTAATGATAAATCCCCCAAATCCCTGCCTTTATGGGCTGTACACGTGCTTTTCACTTGACCCTGAAGTTACTTACGGAATCTGGAAGCTACTTTTGAATTCATAAAGTGGTGAACTCAAAGAGAGCGGGGACCTGATCTTTTATAGGAATTAAAAATGTGAAATACGTATTACGCAAATAAGAGACTTGTAACCCCAAACACCCTTGGAAGGCTCTGCGAATTCTCCAGGAAAGAAGATATTTCAGGTCCGTCATTAGGCGCATGAACCCCAGTTTGGAAGCCACCTTCTAAAGCCAAGCAGTGGTTCTCGGGCCGCAAGTTGTGTAGATAGGCTGCAAGGACACGAAATTATTGACAGTTGAGATATACTTTTTAAATCACCTTCTATAAGTCCTTGCACAGAAGGTGCTTCTTGCTACGGACAAGTCTTCGAGGGAATTCCAGTCCTTTGATCTCTCTGGGCTTGGTCTCCAAAGACACTTGGGCGCGGTAGTCCACGACGGTAATCCCCGAGACTGGAGAGGCTGAGGCTATAGGATCGCAGGCTAGCCTGGGCAAATTAGCGAGCCATCCTGTCTCAAAATAGTGTAATAATCTAAAAAGGGCTGGGGGTCTAGCTCAGTAATAAAGTGCCCCTGTTCGATCCCCAGCACCCCCCCCCMCACACACACACACAAAATGACAGCTACGGTTGCTGTTGCCCTAGTCTCTCCACCCTGCCCCAAGGTGACAAGGATGGGAAGTGATCCTGGTTTCAGAGCCTGCACCAGCTTCTTGGTTGGATACCTGCCTCTCAGAGGACGTTGCTGATGACCTGGGCCTAAGGAGTAGCCAGTTGGCAGCTGTTTGCAAAGAGAGGCATGAACACAAGCTGGGGTGTCCATAGGACTCTCTATGAGGCTCTGTCAAGAGCACAAAGGGGYCAGGCAAGAACATTTTCTAGTGTAGAATTCTGGAGAGTTCAAAAATTCTCATTTAGAACCTGATCTGCCAGGACCTTATGAAGGTATATTTTTATAAAGTTAGCAATTTAAAACATATTTAATAATTTGTTAACTTAGTCTATGACGTTGAAATATTTAGTATGTAGCTAGGCATGGTGTCACATGTCTGTAATCCCAGCAACTAGGGAGACTGAGGCAGGAGGATTGCAAGTTCAAGGCCAACTTTAGTAACTTAGTGAGACCCTGTCTCAAAATTTTAAAAAAGGGCTGAGAGTGTAGTTCAGTAGTATAGAACCTCTGAGTTCAATCCCCAGTACCAAAAAAAAAAAAAAAAAAAAAGAAAGAAAGAAAGAAATAGTGTGATAGTGTGTGAGTCATTTATAGTCTTGCCTCATAGTCTTGTCTCAGCCTCCACAAATAACATGGGCAGGGCAGATTTGAGAATTTAGTTCTTTTCCCATCATCTGCTATCTGCCAAATTTAATTCTATAATAATTTTTTGTTAGTTCAATCTTCAGTTCTTACAACACTATGACTACTTATGCTATTAAGAGTTGAGTCAGGTAAACAACTAAAACTTCCTTTCCTGCAAAAAATTTTATTTTTCCTGGAATTAATCATTATCTTGTGTTTTCTTTCTTTTTTAATGATTAATAGAAGATTTATGAAAGCAAGAAAACATTAGTTATCATTGCCAGWCTTAATATATTAAATGTTCAGTGTAATTTCCCTTCCCAGGTAAGTTTTTCCTTCCTATCCTATTAGTTTTGAAAACATAATACCATAAAAAAAGAGATCCAATTCCAATCAGAGCACCTAAGATTAAGTTCTTGGGAGTGGGTCTGAAATTCAGATAGATATTTGCTGATCTTGCATAGGTCCAGTGAATTAAGGCAGGATCTTCCATGACCCTTTTGTGGTTATGGTCATGGTTCTGAATGAAGCAGATAATCCTGTTTAAAGCCAGGCTTTTATGGCCAACCACTGGGTTTGAGTCTTCCTGATTTCCAGAGAAACTAGGCTGGGTCCAGAGTAGGGGGCAGAGTGGCCAGGTGTGACACGTTATACTTTGGGAATGACATCTTGGAACCCTGGTGCCTATCTTGTGTTTTTATTTGCTTAATTTTCTATGTATTTATTACAAGATTTGCTTCAACTCTTCCCACAAGAGTTTGTCTGCATCTCTTCTCAGAATAGCAGGATACAGTAGATATTCTACACATTTCATCATCTGTTTTTTTTTTAATTAGAGCATTATAGTTATACACAGTAATTGGGTTCATTTTGACAAAAAGCAAACATGCATGAAATTTGATTTACTACATTTCTGTTCCCATTCCACCCCTCCTTTCCCTTCCCTCCTGACTCTCCCTAATTCTCCTTCCTCTTCTGATCTTCCTTTCACTCTTATTTTGTTAAATTAATTCTGCATTTCCTTCCCTTTCCTGTCCCTCATCCCTCCTGATCTCCTTCAGTTCCACTGATATTTCCCATATTTTTATGATAACCAATCCCTTCCCCCACGACTTTTCTCCCTTATTTTGCTCTAGCTTCCACATATGAGAGAAAACATTTGACCCTTAATTTTCTGAGTCTGGCTTATTTCACTTACAGATGTTCTCCATTCCATCTTTAATTGCAAATGCCATAATTTCATTCATTTTTATGGTTGAGTAAAACTCCATTGTGTTTGTATTACACTTTCTTAATCCTTTCATCTATTATGGGCATCTGGGCTGGTTCCATAATTTGGCTATTGTGAACTGTTCTGCTATAAACATCGATGTGGCTACATCACTATAGTATACTGATTTTAGTCTTTTTGGATTAATACCAAGGAGTGGGATAGCTGGATCATATGATGGTTCTACTCCCTAGTTTTCTGAGGACTCTCCATACTACTTTCCAGAGTGGTTGTACTAAKTTAAAGTTCCACCCACAATGAGTATACTATTTTCCCCACATCATCATTTTATTTGTGTTCTTGATAACTGCCCTTCTGACTAGAGTGAGATGAAATCTTAGTATAGATTTGATTAGCATTTCCCTCATTGCTAGAGATGTTGAACTTTTTTTCTTTTCCTTTTGCACTGGAGATTGAATCCAGAGGTACTTCACCCTGAGCCACATCCCCAGACCATCCCACCTCACCCCCACCCTTTTTTGTTTGAGACAGGATCTCACTAAGTTGCTTAGAGCCTCACTAAGTTTCTGAGGCTGGCCTAAAACTTGCAATCCTCCTGCCTCGGCCTTCTGAGTCACTGGGATTACAGATGTGCATCATTGCACCTGGCTAGTGATGTTGAACATTTTTTCATATATCTGTTGGCTACCTGTGTTTCTTCTGAGAAATATCTGTTTAGTTTTTTTGCCCATGTATTGATTGGGTTGTTTTAAGCATTTTAAATTCTTTATATTTTCTGAATATTAATCCCCTTTCAGAGGAGGAGCTGGAAAAGATTTTTTCCCATTTTGTCCATTTCATCTCCTTGAAGCAATCTCTGCTGGAGTCTTCTGACAAGCTCCAATCTTTATCCCTGACCCTTGCTGCAACATCTGGGAACCAGGCATCTTCTTTCCCATTCTCTTGGCCACTTTTTTTTTTTTTTTTTTGACACTGTGCTTTGTTGGGTCTTTTATTTTCTATATTCCTTGTCTTTTTCTTTCTTTCTGGATTTACTACCCCTGCCCCCACTTTCTTTCCCAGTCCTAAAGATCAAACTCAGGGTTTCCCTCATGCTAGGCAAGTGCTCTACTACTGAGCTACAGCCCCAGCCAGGCAGTAGACTTGAGTTATCCCATTGATGATTTTCTCCCTTCCATCTTCTCTGTTCTTTTTTAGAACTCCTATGATTTGAAAGTGAGAGAGGAGAGAGAGAGAGAGAGAGAGAGAGAGAGAGAGAGAGAGAGAGAGAGAGAGAGAGAGAGAGAGAGAGAGAGAGAGAGANAGAGAGAGAGAGAGAATTTTTAATATTTATTTTCTAGTTCTCGGCGGACACAACATCTTTGTTGGTATGTGGTGCTGAGGATCAAACCCGGGCCGCACGCATGCCAGGCAAGCGCGCTACCGCTTGAGCCATATCCCCAGCCCCAGAACTCCTATGATTTGATGATGAACCTGCTGGGCTTGTCCTTATAATTTATATTTTTTCTCTCCAATTTTCCATGTTTTTTATGTTTCTGGGAGAATCCATCCACTTTATTTCCTTCTATTGAATTTTTTTCATATTTTAAAGATTTTTATTGCTCTCACTTTATTTTATTCTCCAAATATTTCTTTTTGCAGCATCTTATTTTGTTTCAGGTTACAATAGCTTATCTTGTCTTGAAATATATTACTGGAAGCTTTGTTCA